TGGGAAGAGAAGGGAAAAGGAGGAAATAGAGGTGTTCTGAGGTAGAAAACAGAGAATCAAAAGTGGGAGAGTAATCACCACACTCCTGAATAGAAATGGGAACTGAATATTGGATTCTTAAATGACCAAAATTTATATCACATACTACTGAAAAACAAAGATTAAAAATCTAGTGTAGAGGTTAGACTCTTTGAAATACAATATTTAAAAACAAAAACACAAAAAAATTTAGAAATGTATATGAAGTTTGATTTAAAAATAGGGTTTTTCTCTCTTTTTTTTTTTGGCAAGGTTATAGTGAAATGAAAATGAAAATTAAGGAATAATAGAAGAGTATTAGAGGACTTTAAAAGGAAATAGGAGAGAAAAACAAGAAAAAGAAAAAAAAGAAAAAAAAATTTTTTTTTTCCCTAATTAAAAAAATCGTAAAAGTATATGAAAATGAAAGTTGAGGAGTAATGGGGGAGTAAGAGGGAATTTTAAAAGAAAATAAAAGAGAAAAAATTTAAAAAAAATTAAAAAAAGGATAGAAAAAAAAATTTTTTTTTTAATTAAAAAAATATATCTATATATCTAGGAATTTCTCTGGAGTTGTTGCAGTCAGCGTAGGTTCAGTTCAATTTCAGATAGCTCCTCTTTCCAGCTTACACTTCTCGATATCTATAGGCCCCTTCCGGTGTAGTCGGTATTACCTTCAGGGATTTTAATCTGTTGCACCAGTCCTTTCTGAAGCGGTTCCCTTTGTTTATTTGGCTTCTGTTTTCCATCTCTTCGGTGTCTAATTTCCGCCCTGACACAGGCAGGCGGAGTTGATCTCTTATTTAGGTTCTCTAGTTCAGTTCAGTCCTGCTACGGGGAGGGCGGGGCGCTGCAGACAGATACCGCTCTGTGTGGATAGCACTCACAGTGTTCCGGCCACACTGGGTTTGCCCCGCTCACGGGTGTCAGTGCTTTCCCCGTCTACACTGCTCAGGCTCCCAGCTGCTCTATATGGAGAGGGCCCTGCGTTGAGTGCGGTTCCAGTTTTCGGGTACTCCACAAAAGCGCAGATTCGGTTGCGCCTGCGTTTTGTGCCTTCCCCGGCCTGAGCGGTTCAGGCAGCCAGAGGCTTGGGCGCACTCTCCCCGGATGTGGCGCGCCTTTTCCCTCCGCGGCGGGCAGCTGAGGCAGCCAGAGGCTTGGGCGCACTCTCCCCGGGTACGGCGCGCTTTTCCCCTCCGCGGCCCCAGCGCACGCCGCCAGTCGGGTCTCAGGAAGTCTTTAGATAGGAACCGGGGGCCTGTTTGCAGTGTGGAAGGGGGTGGCTTCTCAGGGGCTGAGTTTGCCCTTTTCCCCTCCCCCCTGCCTCCTACCTCCAGCGGGGATGGGCCGGCTCTTCTCTGGAGTTTCTCAGTCCCTTTGTTTTGCGAACCGCTGGCAGTGTGTTCGGGCCAGTTAATTTTGACCCTTGCTATCCCACAGGTTAAAAAAGCTCCTTGCTATCCCACAGGTTAAAAAAGCTCCGTCCGATTGCTCTCAGGGTCTTCGGGCCAGTCCTTACCCTAAGCAATGCCGCCCGCTCCTCTCCGTCCCGCCCCCGCTTGTTGCTGGCGGGTACAGGCGTCTGGGGTACTTTTCTGCTGGGAGTTGCTCTTAGGCACATAATCTGTGGGCCTTGTTTAATTTTTCCTCCCAGTTAGATTGCCGAAAACTTCCCCCAGTCCCGCCAGTGCGAGGGTTTCCTGGTGATTGGAAACTTCCTCTATTAATACTCCCTTCCCGGGACGGGTCTCCGTCCGTAGCTCTTTTGACTCCCTTTTTATCTTTTATATTTTGTCCGACCTCCCTTCGAAGACAATGGGCTGCTTTTCTGGGCGCCTGATGTCCTCTGCTAGCGATCAGAAGTTGTTTTGTGAAATTTGCTCAGCGTTCAAATGTTCTTTCGATGAATTTGTAGGGGAGAAAGCAGTCTCCCCATCCTATTCCTCCGCCATCTTGGCTCCTTGACTCTAGGTGCGTAGACTATACAGTGAACTCTACGAACAAAAAATATTCAATAGCTATAAATGGTGTTCTCTAGAGTTGAATGAGGTAGTGGTTTTGCTATTGGTGAAATTTTATCACACAATTTCTTTAGTTGCTGTCAATCTTTCAAAATATGCCATTTAACCATTTAGGAGAGAAAAAAATAGTTCTTTTTATATTTCTGAAACCTATTTTTCCCTTTTTTATTATATTTTATTCCTCATAGACATACAAATCTAATGTATTTCTTTAAACAATAGCATACACTAATACACATCATATTTAGGGTTTATTTATCAAAAACATGCATTTTAGGGGTAACACTTCTGAAAATTTTATCAGTACACAAAATGGGAATATGCATGTAACATTTTCAGATACGCATTTCTTGTTGTTTTTTTGGCCACACTACACAGCTAGTGGGATCTTATTTCCCTATCCAGGGATGGGATGTATGCCCCTACAGTGGAAAGGTGAAGTTGGAGTACTAACCACGGGACCACCAGGGAATTTCCCATGTAACATTTTTTTGAACAGTATTTATTACTAAAAAGCTATATCGTTATTATGATGTATATGTATCTATGTATATAATATACATTATATACTCTATAATATGCTATAAAATCACATTATAACACAAATTTACTAATTTTATGCTGTTCTACACAATTACACTTTGTTGCAACTTTCTATTGCTTTGGTCCTATGAAGTTTTCCTTCTCATTCCCAGTCATTTAAAAAAAAATTAATATATTTATTATTTGATTGAAGGATGATTGCTTTACAGAATTGTTCTGGTTTATGTCTAACATTGGAGAAGGAAATGGCAACCCACTCCAGTGTTCTTGCCTAGAGAATCCCAGAGATGGTGAAACCTGGTGGGCTGCCGTCTATGGGGTTGCACAGAGTTGGACACAACTGAAGTGACTTAGCAGCAGCAGCAGCATCTCTAACTTTAACATGAATCAGCCATAGGTATACATATGTCCCCTCCATCTTAAACCACCCTCTCATCTCCCTTTCCATCCCACTCCTATTGAAAATAGGTTTAACCCTTATAAAGTTTGCTTTTACCAGTCTTCACAATATTTTACCTTTTCACTTGTGATTGTCTTCATTTTATACTGCCCAATGAGATTATTTAATTCTGATAGAGGATATCAGTTTTCCCCATACTTTAATTTCTGTTTAATATCCCCATTCATAATTCATTATATTTTAAAGTTCTTAGATGTGAATAAGGATTTTGTCCTCCCTATATTGCAGTAGTCTTTACAGACACATTTAAGCCTAGATTATCTTCATTGCATAGGTGAAAAATAAGAGAAACAGAAGGAAAGAGTAGAAAATCAATATTACATTAGTGAATTGGAGTCAGATAAAGGAACTAGGTTGAGCAAAAAAATGATTATAAAATCAGATTTTAAACATATGAATTTGAAGACAATTGCTTCTTTTATAATCTCACCTCTGTATACCTGCAATAGCTTATTAACTATCATCTCAGAAGTATAACTCTCCTCTGCCTACAAGTGGTGATTGACCAGATAAACAGAGAAATGACTTAATCATATATATTCTAAACACTGCAGATTTCAATTAGCAAAGTCATAGTTACCTAGAAGGCAACAGTGCAGCAACTGATGGATGAGGGAACCTACAGGGAAAATAAGTTTTAATGATATAATATTATATTTGAAGTTCCTCCTCCTGAAAATAGCATAGGCCCATTCTTCCCCTGTTGTGTCTTTAATAATCAGGAACCTTCCTGCCTGGTGATTCTTTACTTTCAAAGTAATAAATAAAAATTCTGTTATTTCAGAAAGGAGCCTTTTTTTCCTCCCCAAATCCCACTCATTTGGGAATATTCTTTCACCTGTGATTTATGGTTCTATATTTTTAATCTGTTATTTTTAGTCAAATAAAATGTTTTCCCTGGAATAATGAAAAAGAAAAATGATTCAGTGTGGGGACTTCCCTGGTGGTGTAGAGGGTAAGTCTCCGTGCTCCCAAGGCAGGGGACCAAGATTCCATCCCTGGTCAGGAAACTAGATCTCCACATGCTAAAACTTAGACCTGGCCCACCCAACAAATAAATATATTTTTTAAGAAAATTCAGTTTGTATTATAGCCACTTAGCTCAGTTTGAGATTTGTAGTGTTTTTTTTTGGTTGTTGTTGTTTTAGATTTATTGGGTGGGTTAGAGGGCTTCCCAGATGCCACTGGTGGTAAAGAACCCACATGCCAAAGCAGGAGACATGAGGGTTCAGTCCCTGGGTCGGGGAGATCCCCTGGAGGACAGCATGGCAACCAGCTCCAGTATTCTTGCCTGGAGAATCCCATGGACAGAGGAGCCTTCAGTCCGTAGGGTCGCAGAGAGTCAGAATTGGACACAACTGAAGCAACTTAGCATGCACACACTAGTGGGTTGTATAGATTGCACCTTCCTTCGAAACCTTAATAAGTATGAACACTGAAATATGGCAATGTTTTAATACATCTCCATACTTTATTAAGCCACCTAGCTTGAAACCTTGTCAATGAGTGTGAGATTTCCCCAAAAGAAAAGTAACATTTAGTTAGGTTAGATGTCAAGTTGCTAGCTTACACTATATAAAAGTCAATATGTACCAAGTCATATTACTGAATTTCATCTACACTGCTAGGAGGTTGTTGAACTCAATTACAGAAATGTGCAGAGTTTGATTTGATGTGTGAGGAGGTTAGGAGACCACAATCAATTAAAAAGAACACATGTATATCCTGTTCTGGGGAAACAGTTGTTTTAGTATCCCTTGTTCAGTTTCTGCTTTTTTCTCTGACTTTACCTCTGAACATAAGAGAACAAAAGGTTTAATAATTCCCCAGTTTCATTTGGAATTATTTTGTGAGCAACATCTAATAGGAAGACATGTGATTGTTGTTTTACTTGAATGAAGCCTCAGGCAGCTACAATTAAACACGCTGTGCTTTTTTAAATTTTTCTCATGTAGCAAAACCATTTGAAAACGGACAATATTTGGACATCTATGGAATTACAAGGGACCAGGCTGGAGAATATGAATGCAGTGCAGAAAATGATGTGTCATTCCCAGATGTGAAAAAAGTGAAAATTGTCGTAAACTGTAAGTCCCATCACCTTTTATTAAAAAATTTCAAAGGGAAGATTAAACACCTGGAAAATACTGTCTGAAGTTTATGTTGCTATTTTTTAAGAGGAAGTCTATTGATAAACAGTACCTATTGGCAGTGCAAATGTTTGCCTGTTAGAATATTGATCAAAGTGTTTTAGTAACATCAATTGCCCCAAATAATCCTACAATAATTCAATTTAATGTGTAGATGGCAATGTTTTCAATATCATCCCAATCCTGAACTGTGGTATCCTTAATTTCTGAAGCATCCTAGACTCATGGGGTTGTCTTCATTCTCCTGGGTTTCACTTGGCGTGTATTCTGACTAAATTTAAGTGTGGAATTCCAGAAGTGTGCTGTTTTATGCTTAAAGAGAAAAACTGTTACTATGATACTCCTATCATTTGAGTATTTAATTCTATTTGGCTTGGGCAATATTGAGAAAATGAAAAGAAATAATTTTTATATGAATATCATTATTAGGAAGTTAGAATATTAAGTGATACTTGCAGAACAATCAATGTCATTATGTTACACCCTTTCTCTAAATGCATTTCAAAACACTGATGACAGACATTTTTTCACTAATAGCTTATTTCATATATTATGATCTCAACAGTAGTGACTGCAATAGTTTTTACTTTTCAAAGATACTCCCTTAGTCTTTCTCTTAAAATTGTTCACATTGTTTGACTTACTCAAATTGAATATTTGGGGGATAATAGTTTTTTACTAGAAGTGTTTTCAAGCTACAACTTCCAATTTTTTCCCTCACATTTATAAATCTTTCTCTATATAGCCAATGTTAATAATGAATACATAGATTTGTACCATAGATCAGAAGAAATTTTTCCAAATACATCCCCAGATGCTAATGTTAAGCATTTTTCATATATTTAATCTCAATTTTATGAGTCAAAAAGAATCTATCAAAACACACTCAGTAGTTGAATATTGCCAGGGCAAATTATTGCCACCAACTAACATTTGTCAGTGGCTAAGCTATACATTTGGTATTGACTCATTGAAAAAGACCCTGATGCTGGGAAAGGTTGAACGCAAGAGAAGGGGATGACAGAGAATGAGATGGTTGGATAGCGTCACCTACTCAATGGACATGAGTTTGAGCAAACTCTGGGAGATGGTGAGGGACAGAGAAGCCTGGCATGGAGTGGCAAAGAGTTGGACATGACTGAGTGACTGAACAACAACTGAGCAAATGTGCACAATGCCAGAAGGAGGCAGTTCCTAGAGCAGAGTTTCTTATATAATATTCTGAGACAAACTTCAGTAGAGTCACCCAAAAGGTTACTAGAAATGGAAAATCTGTGTCCTACCAGGCCTACTGAATCAAAATCTTTAGGGAATATGGCCTGAAAATATGCATTTATGATAAATTTCCATTGAACCTTAGGACTCTTGTTGCAGTGAGTTACTGCTCACCATTCTGGAACTCTCTAAAATAAGAGTTAATAAATATCATTCACTCAAATAAAAATTTCTGATTATTTTATCACTAGCCATGCTTATCTGAATATGGGTCTACAGATTTTGTTGTTGGGGGGAGTGAGAAAAGAGGTGAAAAATAAGACTGAAATGAGGTAATACTTTTAGCAGTGAGCCCTAAGAAAAGTGGAAGCAGAGTCAATCTGTCAAACAAGCAAGACACCCAGCCTGACAATGCAGCCTACTCTCAACTCCTAGAATTAGTGTATGTCTACAGTGATGTCTCCCATGGGGATACAGTTGAAAACAAGCTACCAAATGGATCTACATGGGTCTATACTCCATGTATAATCCACTTGTGTGTGTTCACACTTTTGTTTCTATGCTTTTCACCTCTCTGACTTTAGTTCATTGTCACTTATTATTTAATTTGATTCTTGTTTTTGTTTTTTATGCTGGACAAGTTGGTTCTTTAGACTGAAACAGTTCAGGTAAGGATGCAGAAATATGGAGAGAAATTGAATTGAGAGAAAGACCGACCAATGAGTTATCATCTGAAGGATTTCTGGGGAGAAAAGCATCCTTATATAAAGCAGGACAGAAATTAGGGAGACAGATGTCAAGAACTGTAAGGGATCTGCCACAATTTCACAAGTGCTGACAGAAGACAGAGACAAAGGGCAATTTATTACTCATAGAAATAGCAATAGCCAGGGTATTTTCTTACGTCCGTTCCCCAAGTCCCAATTACTGCAAGGTGATATGATGAAGGTTAAGAGAAATCTATACACACAGTAGGTTTATGTCATAGCTGAGGTATCCTTGGGCTTACAAACTCAATTTTTTTCATATATAATGGCGGCAAGCAAACCAGCCTTTGCCACAGAGGGAGAAATTATCTTTATCATACTGGACCATAAACAAACCTGCCCTTTGCTTCATGGAGAGAACCACTTCTATCTTCCAAGACTGTTCGCTATACAAACATTCTTGAAAAGCTTGTCAGGAACAAAAGCTGTCAGGGCCTCTGCTCACAAGATGTGCAGAAATGCAGGAGACCCCTGGAAGATTGTCTTCCAACACAAAATGGGAGGAGGAGAGTTTGAAGCATAGCCTTGAGACATTCCATCAGTTCAAAAGGGTGTTTCAGTGGCTTTTGTAGGGTTTCAGACATTAAAAACAGAAAAGAAAGCGTTGTTAACCAACTTTAACTTGAGAAGGAAAATCAGAAGGAAAAAAGGAGAAAGTAAACAAAAAAGTTAAGGATGTGTTTATTATAGTTGTAATACAGACTGTGTTTTATAAGAACTGATTTCAGTTGAAGTATAATCATATGTGGAAATATTGGTACCAACATAATATTAAAAAATATTAAGAAAATGAACTCAAAAACAGGACTTTTTACATGGATTTAAACATTCAGTGTTTACTGTTGCTTCTCAAATTATACCTTTGATAGCTAACATTTTCTCAAATGTGCCATGAAGAACTGAATACTGATTGATCAGTTAAATTTACATCTCTTGAATAAATATTTTATGCATGTTTGGTCAGATTTCTGGTCATGCCCTAAGTTTTGCCTTAATTTGGAATAATTGTGTCACATGTATACCAGTGATATCTAGCCATGTAGGTGTGTGAATGTAAGTGTATATGTTTCTGGTTTTGAGGAAATTTGAAAAGTATTAATTTTGTGAATTCACCCCTTTCACAGAAGTCAGAAACTGAGCACCATCCATGGATTTTACTGATTTCCCAAAGGAAATTAGCCAAAACCTACTGAACAAACTTCCGTTTGTCAAAGCCCAAAATTGAGCACAGTGCACTGTAGCCAGCATGAAACTTCGTGTCCCCTGATAATCTGAAGATTCCCTGAAGATAGAATTATACCAGGTTCAAGGCAGCCCTCTTTTCATGGTTATTAATCAATATTGATTGTGCATATAAAATTACAGTAGCTTTGTGAATAACTTGAAGAGAAACTTTGTCCCTGTTCCCAAATGAAGTTCAAGATGAAATGTAATAAATTTTCATAAGTTCCAGTACATTCAGTTATGCAGAAGTCACTTTGAGGAAGAGATTTATGTTCCCTGTAATTTAGAAATATGTAATATGTTAGTGTTTATGTAATACATCTGCCTCATTCATTACATATAGGCACATGTATATTTCTTATACCTACAGTAAATAATATTCGCCACATGCTTTGTACCCATAGCACTCTCCTGTGGATTTCTATTGATTAAACAACACTTTAATGAAATAATTAGTATATTTAACTTATTTTGTATAGATTGGACTAGTTTGTTGATCAAATAAGCACATTTATTTTGAGTTATTTACAGACATTTAAAGAATAAATTTATTTACTTACATATAAGTTCATTTTGAGTTATTTATTAAACTTGTAAGATTTTATAGAAAACTTTGTTTCTGGGTAGGAAGATTTTGTAGATGATTATTCTCCTGTTTTTCTCTGTATATTCTTTTATCCATTTGTATATGAATATAGTATATTCATGATTTACAATATACTATAACTATAATAAATATATGAATATGTACATTTTTTATATTTGCTTATGTATGTATATACACACATCTACACACAATTGGATAAGAAATATATATATACATACTTCTATGTCTTGGACTTCCCATGTGGCTCAATGGTAAAGAATCCACCTGCCAATGCAGGAGATGTGGGTTCAATCCCTGGGTTGAGAACATACCCTGGAGAAGGAAATGGCAACCCACTCCAGTATTCTTGCCTGGGAAATCCCACAGACAGAGGGGAGTGGTGGGCTAAAGTCCATGGAATTGAAAAAGTCAGATACAACTTGGTGACTAAACAACAATATATGTATTACATATGTAACTATGTAAAATATGTAACTGTGTAACATCAAATTGAAAAAAAAACTCAAAAGAAATCATGACATTTATCATAAATAGATCTTAAGAGATTAATACACATACACATAAGAAGGAAAAAAAAAATGTGAACCAGTCGATTAGCTAAGCCAAAGGAAGCTAGTGGATTCAATTTGGACAGATTCTCTGTCTTATCTGCATTTGCATCCCAACCCTGGAAGTGGCTTAGAGGATACTAGTTCCATAATTTTTATTGTTAATTAAAAGTGGAAAAATGAATATCCATAAAGCCCATGGATTCAATTAAATTTCAATAAACAGGAAATGAGAAACCAGGGTCTAAAAAATAGGTAAAGCTGATTCATGGAAGTCATATCTAGAATCTAGAAAATGTAGATTATATCGTAGACTAATCAAGATCTCCATAGGGAAGCAGAATCTCAGATGTTAGAAATCAGGAAATCCTGCAAAACCCAGCCCTTCAAAATGAATACTGCTGGTAAAAAGGGCAGGGTTCTCTGATCTTGTGACAAGTTGTTTATTCTCCACTTTATTTGTATGTACTTTTCCAATTAAGAGTAACTCTTTTAGAGCTTCCCCAGTGACTCAGAGGTAAAGAATCTGCCTGTAATGCAGGAAACATGGGAGAGGCCTGTTTGACCCCTCAGTGG